ACACTATAAAGTAATCAACGATTTATAATCTCTGCTCTTGTTAAATATCAGACAGACAGACAAATAAATGAATGAATAGCTTAAATAATTAAATGTTTTATTAGTACTCTGCCATTTTTCTATTTAAAAAGCATAACCTGATACACTTTTTTTAATACTTACAAATTCACAGCTATATCAATGTCAAACAAAATTATTCACTATCTAGATTTTTATCAACAGAGCATCCTTTATGAGGATCTTAGTAGAAACCAAATTTTTATTGCCAATTTGTTAATAATTTGTCACAAGTATGAGATAGAAAAGCCCTAATTATGACACAAAAAGTCAAAATTTTGAGATAAAAAGACATAATAATGCAATTATAATTACTTAAAAATGCGACGTTTGATGTCACAGGTACAACTTTTGTATGTTGAAACTACTTTTTATTTCATAATTTTGACTATCTCAACATGATGTCATAATTTCATATTTTTATGTCATCATTTTGTTAACAGCTCTAAAGAATCATCTGAATAAGAGAGTTGCTTGGGTTATAGATTTGCAAAACGACCTTTCAAATTAAGAATGGAGCAGATATGTGTTAAAGCCCAGAATTTGTCAATTAATACTAGATTTAAAGGGTTGGTTCACCCAAAAATGAAAATTAGCCTGTGTTTTACTCACCCTCAAAGCATTCTAGGTGTATGTGACTTTCTTATTTTAGACGAATCAAATCGGAGTAATATTAAAAATTGTCCTGGCCCCTCCAAGCCTTTCAATGGGGTAAGCGGGTGTTTGCTGTCAACAGTTCAGAAGACGTGAAATAAAGTGTGTGTATCCGTAATGATACGTCCCTCACATGGCTCTGGAGGGTGAATCCATGCATTTTTGTAAGAAAAATATCCATATTTCAAATGTAATAAACACTTTTTTCTAGCTTCCGCTGACTGTCATACGCAGAAAGCCGTTCCGGAGGATGACGTAGGACGTCGCCACTGCGTTATTAGTGACGAACGCAGAGACAAAACAAAACGCCGTTCACGAATTAGACGCACAAAACGAGGATTTGTAAAGAAAAATGTCGGAGGATTTCAATATAAGCCAAGAGGAGACTGGTTTTCCTTTGCTAAAGTAAGGAAACTTTGTTTCCTTTACTCCTGCATTTCTCAGAGGCGCGCGCACGACGCCTACGTCCTACGTCATCCATCTGCATGTCTTCCACATACCACAGTCAGCAGAAGTGAGACAAAAGTGTTTATTACATTTGAAATATGAATATTTATTTTACAAAAACGCATGGATTCGCTACAGGAGGCCTTTATTCACCATGGAGCCGTGTGAGGGACGTTTTATTACGGATGCACGCACTTTATTTCACGTCTTCTGAACTGTTGACAACCAACACCCGCTTACCCCTATTGAAAGGCTTGGAGGGGCCAGGACAATTTTTAATATTACTCCGACTGAATTCGTCTGAAAGAAGAAAGTCACATACACCTAGGATGCTTTGAGGGTGAGTAAAACACAGGCTAATTTTCATTTTTGGGTGAACTAACCCTATAAGCTGATCCAATATAACTGGGTAATGCGTACTTATGTCATCCCAGAATAGTTAAATAAGTTTAACCCAAACATCCCAGATATATGTTTTAAAAGGCAAAAACATAAGGGGACATTATTTCACTGTATCTGGGAATGTAAGACATTCTGGCAAGAAGTGCAACACTAATTTCCTCAGCTATCTCAAAACCGATTCCAGTGACCCCCTGAAATTGGGTTTATTTCCTGTAAGTTTATCATTATCAGGTTATCACACTAAAATGATTTATATTTGCCTAGTTCTTGCAAGATTCTAGTAGCATTTTACTGGAAGAACATAGAAGCTCCATCCATTGATCATTGGTTAAATGATCTGGCACATAATATAGCACTGGAAAGAATAACAGTGTAAAGGGCAAACTAAAGGAGAGTATGTATATATATATATATATATATATATATATATATATATATATATATATATATATATATATACGTATTTTCTCTTTTTCTCTATTATAGCAAAGAAAATTAGCATTAATTTAATAGCATATCAAAATAGCATTATTATTAAAGTGCACACACACACATTGAATATTTAATTAAATAGTTGTCATTGTTGTTAACTCATCGTCATTATCTTGCATAGTTTTGAGAAAATATAACCATTATTATTAGTATTGACATGCTGCCTGTGATATTGTACCAGAATGAAAAAAATGTCCCTATAGTTTGAAAGTATGTGGCTTCAAAACTGACGTTTTCAGTGTCCTTCTAAATGTTACATCATCTCCGCATAAATGTTTTTCACAGCTCAACATCAGGAATGAAGTGTGAACTGCTGAGCTCTGAGCAAATATCCACTGTGATCTGTAAGCATACGTATTTTCTCTGGATATTTTCTGCCTAAAATATGTTATCTTCCATTACTTTTTTTCAATAAAAAAGCACATTACCGCAACATAAGAAAAAATCATGCTTGATATGTCATAATTATGACATACATTTTTTTTGTAAAACGTTGACATCGAGGTACATCAAAATTATTAGACAAAAAGTCATAAATGTGACATAAAAAGTCATAATTATAAAATAAAAATTTTAATTACAACATGAAATATTTTAAAGTTAAAAAAGTCAAAATGTTCAGATATGAGATAAAAATGACTTTTATGACATTAAAGCACACATTTATTAGATTAAAAAGTCAGTTATGACAAAAAAAAGTCATAATTATGACAAAAGTTTACATTAGAACAAAAATAATTACGAGATAAAAGGTCTACATTTTGAGATAAGATGTCAAACTTTTGAGATAAAATCATAATAATGCAATTATAATTACTTAAAATTTTGACTTTTGATGTCATAATTATGACTATTGTATGTCAAAACTTTTTATTTAATAGTTTTGACTTTATCTCATCACAATGTCATAATTTCATTTTTATGTCATTTTTAGCAACAACAGAATGTAAAGATCACAAATATTTAAGAAGTAAATGGTTGAAACATAAGTCAGATGTAGCCATGTAGCTGTATCATATTGCAGCCTCTACAGATGATTTCATTTCCGAAAGTAAAACTCCTCAATAAGGAACAAGGTTATTCAAAGATACACCAGCAGAGGTCATATGGATATGCTTTCACTCTTCATTAGGAGCTCTGAGTGGAGAGCATTAGAGAGTAATGTTACCATTCAGAAGAGTCAGCTTGCTCATCATATTAATTATTTTCCAATATTCATATATTAACAGCAGTTAATTTGACTGGCCTCAAGGTCAATGGGGTCATCAGGGGTCCCCGTAATGCTCGAGGTGTGCAAAGATGCACAGTAGATAAACCAAAACCTGCCATTGTCTTTAATGTCATGTTTCCACAGTAGCCTATATTTTTACATAAACAGATGTATGTGGCATGAATTATGCTAGTTCTGAATTAGGTTTCCTCTTTTTAGCCTGAAGTGACAGCAGTCTTTTTTGAGGATGCAAATGCACTCTGTTACAAATATCTTGCTATGAAAGGACTGTTGCTTTTACAAATAGCAATAGATTGCTTTTATAAATCATTATGTTATTTCACACAACTTGAGTTTGTACTACTTTATGGAAGAAGGTTTAATTGTCAAAAAAAAGGAAAAGAAAAGAAGATCATATTAGATTATGGTCACATGGATTTTTAAAGAGATATTAATCAGTATACTGTAAAAGGAGGCTTGAATAATGTATTTAAGACAAAAATGCATTAAGAACATTTTCTGGCAGAAAACCAATACAAAGCACTGTTCTGCATATGTTGTTTAATATTTAATGTTGTGGTCAGTTAATCTCTTCAGGTTGTCCATTGGAGCCTATTAAAAGTGTGTTACTGACAAACAATGTTGTGAATTAATTGTGCTGAAAGAACTTAATAATAAACTCTGATTATTATTATTTATTTATTTATAGGCTATCTCAACCTCAGTTATTATTATATCACAAATCGATCATGGAATTTCTCTGAGAACAACTCTGTATACACTGGAGTATAAAAACAACAAAATATTTTTTTTCCCATTGATTTAATATATGTTTTTACATTTGTGACGTTTCTGATTATCAATGCTGATTCAGATGCACATAATAACGACTGGCTCATTTTGCACCAGCGATTGCAGGCCTCAGCAATTACAGAATTATCATCTTAATTAGTCTTTTGTTGTGGAGGCAGGGGGTGTGAAGCTTGGAACAGACATGCACTAATAATAAAGCACTCTTATTCCACAGACTAATGAATTTATATCCAGGAAGGAGGGAAGGGTTTCTTTTTTGAGACACAAAAGATAAATCTATTTTTTTTTATTATCATATCATTAGCATATAAATAAATACAATTCACAAACACCTTTAATAATTAGAAAATAAAATAAATAAATAAATAAACGATAATGTTCGTGGGCAACAGCAGAAGTGAAGATTTTCAGTCAATAAGGATTTCAGTTTGTTACTCACACAATGACTTAAAAAGACTTGACAATTTTCCAGTATGAACTGCTTTTGTGAAAGTTTTTTTTTATATGGGCAATAGTCTTAAATCCATTTTTGTATCCCAGATTTTTTAAATAAAAATAATAATTAATATAATTTAAAAAAAAAAATCCTTGTTTGAATTGGTAAATGAATGGTAAATGAAGACAATATTTTCATTATTGGGTGAATTGCTTTAAAAACCTTTAAGTGCCTTTTTAAAAAATAAAAATATGTATTAAATTAGCTTTTTAAGCCTCAGAGAGACATTAAACGTCAACTTCTGTATTTCCACGCACAAGAAATGTCCTTCTCCACCTTTAGAGGCGCTCACGATCCTAAAGACGAACTACAACCAGGCCACGCCCTGCGTCCGTTCCGATTGGCCCAAAGCTGGCAGCTCTGGCTCCTCATTGGTCACTCCTTTCCCATTGAATCTCCTCCACCTTTACTTTGTCAATTTCTGCGCTTTCATTGAATTGCACTGCGAGTGCTGCATCGACCTAAAGCCTGCAGTAGTCCCAGCACGACAGCGTACACTCCTGTCCGTTAACACACGAGGACTGCATCATCACACCGGTTTATTATCAAACGGGTGGACTGAATTCGCACTTATACTGGAAGAAGTGAGAGCCAGCACCGTGGGAGAGAGGTTTCCCGTCGCAGAAGCGTCACTTCTCTGTAGTTGGCTAATGGTTTTTATTCATTCCCAACTTGTCTTAATCCACCGAGGACAAAACACAGCGATGATAAGACTTCAGGACGCTCATGAGATTGTTATTTCGGCATTTTATCTTTGAATTTCGACATTAGTGTACCACAACCGGTTGATACGAGGATTAAAACCGATATTTGTGGTTTTTACGAAAGGAAATACAATGCCGGACCAGATCACAGTGGCGGAGTTTGTGGCGGAGACGAATGAAGATTATAAATCGCCCACCGCCTCAAACTTCACCACTAGAATGACTCACTGCAGGAATACTGTAGCCGCACTGGAGGAGGTGAGACCCATAACTTTATCTAACCTGCTATTTTGTGACGGTTAAAACCTTGCTGAGTGTTTTACTTACTTACAAGACCACTAGAGTCAGCTATTGCCCCTCTTGGAGTTACTGAGGAGGCAAATCCTCGCGCCCTCTTTGTTGTTGCCTCACCCATTAGGCAACTGCTGTATTGCATTGTCTCATTTTGACGATAAACCACAAACAGTTTGATTATTCATTTCATATTTAGATAAAATACCATGCACAGGCAGAAACAGATATGTAATGAGGGGGTTAGATAGAATTTATATAGAAGAGAGAAAAAAACAGTTGATCCACACCTGTTACAATTAACAACACATATTATTTATTCAACAACTCAGTATCTTATTCTTCAGAGCTGGTTTCTAGCAGGTCCAGGAGCTGGTCATTAGCAGGTTGACCAGCTACAATGTTCCAAAACCATTCTGGCATCCTTAGGATGGTCCAACTTTGGACATCATAATGAACAGCTGCAAAAAAGATCAATGGCAGGTTCAGTCTGGTTTATGATGTTCTCACAGCCTGGTTAACAGCAGTTAACCTTGCTGGTCTCCATTGGCCAAGCAGGTGTTCATCTAGTTTGTTGACAAGCCTGAGAAGTGTTCAGAACCCCTGTAAAACCAGCCATCAGTAAATACGACCATATTAGACCAGGCTCCTAAACACGTCTTCCAGTTTAAACTGAATTTTCAAACAGGGAATACTAATATGCTGCATCTGAAGTTCATAAAGAGTGTCTAGATTGTATGAAACATCTCATAAGTGACTGAAGCCTAACCCTGACCAGATATAAATAGCCGTTCTCCGCTCTGCTGCTTTTGTGTTGTGTTGAATAGAGACAGCTTCCTGTGGGATCTGCATCAGCACAGCTCCAGATTATAACCGTGATAGATGCTGCAGGCTGTATGGACTTGTTATTAGGTATACAGATAATGTAACGTGTTGAGATGTTATGGTATCTCAGAAAGGGTCAAAACGGTTGCTATGTGGCTGTTGCTGATATTAATAGCAAGGTGTGTTGTTTGGCAGTTTATATTGGCAGTGAGGATATTTGACTGGCTAGAGGGCGAATCCGCATTTCATAATGCCATTGGGTTAAATGATTCCTGTGCTTCCAAGGTAAATCTACAAATGCATAACTGCATTCTGTGCTGTGGCTGTGTGTTCCTGTGAGGAACTCGGGAAGTCTGGAGCTAAATGATTGTTTTTGGTCTTCCTCCTCTTGCATGCTGTTTGTTCACTCTTTGGCTTTGTGGTAATTGCTTCAGGGACATAAATAGTGCTGTCCACATATTTGCAGTTTTATGGAATTGCTGTAAGTCTGGTGTATTTGTGTTGCGTCTCACACTGACCAACAAACAGAGTCCGAATGGGAATTTGTCAGAGAAGGATTTCCAGATGTCATGCTAAAGATGCCCTTTCATGTTAAAGAAGCTTTCTGCTTTGTGACTGGTCTGTAGCTGCATTCACAGGAAATGTTTATGATTCTTCTCCGTATTGTCTCGTCACTATGAAACGGCTTCCCTCTCGGGTCTCATTGCTTCAGCCGTTTAAACGTAAGGGCCTAATTTAACTTGCAGCTTTTGCCTGATAATAAACAGGACAAGACAGAAGGAGTTATAATTTATTTTTAAAGCAATTACACTGGAAAACAAGTTAATTTGAGGCCTGCAGTTGTAAAAGCTTCAGCCACAGGGGAAATAAAGGCCATAAAACATTACTACGCATTGTAGAACAACAATATCTGGAAGAAGTGCATGAAAGTAAATTATTGAAACAATGAAATGTTTAGTCTTCAGTTTATATAGGCTGTTCTTAACCAAACATTCACTTAATCATTAGACTTTTAATGTTTCTGACAAACACCATATAATCCTATATTTAATGCCATATTTAATCTATACAAACACCAAGGATTGTGCTCTTCCAGCATTTATTGATTGCGTCTTGTTCGTCTCGAGTCACCTTAAGAGTAAAATTTGCTTTTTAGACCACAAATTAGATGATTGACTCTGAAAAATTGGTGTTTTTAGTTTAATAGCCTCTCTCTTTCATGCAGTGGGAGAGTGGGGTTGATTTATGGTCGGATGTGTCCTTGTCTTGTTGCGAGGTCAGCTGAGGGCAACGGGTTCAGAATCAATAAGCATCAGTGCTTCATATATGATACCTGAATCTTCTATCGCATTTATCTCAGTGCTGATTTTCTGGTATGAGGGTGCCTTCGGACATTGATAAAACTAGCAGACGTTCTTTTAAATAAGTTTAACCCACTTTTATAAATTTAGCCCACTTTTGTAGGCCAAAGAGAGCTCTGTAGCCTAGTTCAAACTGACTCTCTAGTTCGGATATTGGCAGCAGTTTCATCTCCTCAGTTGCACTTTATCTTTAGAAAGTGTTTCAAACACATTCAAGGCTTCAGTGCTGCCCACCCTTGTGGTTTGAGAGCATCTTTGCTTTGAGTTCACACCGTGTCAGTGAAGTGTGTGATCCCGCTGAATGACTCCGCTTGGGGATCACAGGGGGAAAGTTGGGAAATCACTATGTTATTCCTGGCATCCCAAAGAAATTTTGGCATTGACCTTGTTGTCTGCTGAAAACCTATGGCTGTTGAAGCCAGTGATGTGTTGTTGTCTAGAAGTCATAATCAACTAAATAAGCACTCTCTGAAATATCGTTTTTTGTCTAAAACAGTGTTTGTCTTGATATTCCGGTTTGTCCTCAGGAATATTCTGGTGCCTAGAAATGGCTTTTTTTAATCAAAAGTTGTATCTGTTTACATTACATAATGCACTGTAAACTAATATTGACTAACATAATAAACACATTGCTCATTGTTAGTTCATGTTAGCTAATACATTAAATGAGACCCTGTTGTAAAGGGGTTAACCTGATTGCTTATAGAACACAACAAAAATAGGGTTAACTGATTGTCATTAGGTAAATGTTGTTGTCCTAGTCAGTTGGAACCTACCCTGTGTAAAAAGCTTAAGGCCTGTTCACAGGTTTAGTGCAATAAACATTTTAATTTGAATGAACTGCTGTTAATGTGTCTGTTCAACTGACACAAATATTTGCATGCAGTCAATGCAACAGATTTTTTTTAAGCAGAGGTGTTCTAATTGCTTTTCCATGACACAGCGAAAAGGGACAACCAATAAGATCTGCACATGCCTGCAGAACATTTTTTCTACATTTGTCTAAACAGTTAAATTGCATGTAAAAATCAGATTTTTCTTTTGAATGCTCATGCTGATTTACACCATATGTTGCTTGAAAAAGCTGTTTTTTGATGCAGGTATACCAGCTTGACCAGCATAGCCATGCTGGGAGACCGTAGTGTTCAAAACAGGCCTTCTACTGATAACCAGCTGTGGTCATTTAGGATGGTCACCAGTTTATAGTTAGCCTACTTGGACTGCTTCTTGATTACAAGTGTCAACAATGCTGATGGAACAAACAGCTGCTCTGTGGAACAGGTGAGGTTTCGGGGGTTTAAAGCAACTAGGAATTGAGATTACGATGGATAAAAGCTAAAACAACACTAGCACCTGTTAATTTCTGGATGTTGAGACACTTTTCAAACCTGCTGTCTTTTTCAGACCATAATTCACTCCTTGTGAATGATTAGGAAGTGCCATTTGCCGTTTGCATTGCGTTTACTTACAGGACGCATTTTCAAATGACTTGTTGGTCACCATGCTGTGAATCCATTGTAGATCACTGTTTTTCTGGGAAAATTTCCCCTTTGATTTGGGCCAAAGTTACTGCCCTTTCCCAACAGATTCTGGAGTTCTGTATCTCACAAGATAGATGCTGAAAGACCCTGAATCCCTGATGACATGTTGGAAAAGTGCGGCTGAGGAAATCCCATTAATTGGGTGAAGCAGGGTGCATTGATCTACTAGGGTTCACAAGTGCACTGGCCTTTGTTTAGTGAGTGTTAATGGGGGCAGGGAGGCCCTCCGTCCTGTCCAGGGGGTTTGTCACAGATTACCAGGGACAACTCCCTTTTCAGGGCCATTGTTAACTGTCAAGCTCCATTTCTTCATTAATGAAGTTCCCATCATTGATTTGTTGCTGTGTCCTTTAAAGACGACCATCCGTTTCCCAGAGGTGCCTGGTAATCATGTTTCACTGTTGCTTTCGCTTTAAGAAAACCCAACACCAAATGCAAGGGCTTTTTGACCATGACGTTACATTTATAATTTCTACCATGCATCCTTTTAAATTTACAATTGGCTGTAAATTTAAATTTAAGGGATGCATAATGTGTTGGCGGCCATACACGTATTTTCATGATTAGGCTAATATTTACAATGTTTCTATATAAATTGGTGTAAATATATATATTTTTTCAATTCAACACAGTACTCTGTGTAAAGTTGCTAAAAGCGTTTTTCCTTGAACAATGGCAAAACAAAGCCAAAGTCATGATCCTGGAGTGTTAATCTAGTGTTTGGGGGATTTTTCTAAAATGTGCGAATGCCACCTGCATGTCCACATTTCGACAGGCTCTCTTGAGCTCTAGAGCGCTGCTATTTTTACAGCACCTGAATTTTTAATGCCGCTGCTGAAATCTTATAGATGTATGAGTGTGAAACAGCAGTTTCTACTTGTTCATCTCTGAAAAACAAATACAAATCCTGCAGAATTCCAAAGGTTTGCCATGTTTCTCATAAGCAATCTCACCCAAAATGACATTTTTATTCACATTTTTCCAGACCCGGTTAAATTTTGAAGAATGTTTGTATGACAAACACACCATAAAAGCAGTCAAAAAGCAGTAGTATTACAGTTTCTCCCATATGGTTAGTATACAGTAGTTCTTCAATGTGGACAGTGTGGGAACCGTGTTTTACGCATTGAATGCTTCTCCAGCACACACATTTGGTCTTCATTTTGTCAGACTGTGCCTTCATCAGTCTCCTGGAGTTTACACACTCCCTTGCAGTCACTTTAAATTATAAAGCAGTCAT